GATATTGGCACGTGAGTTATCCGTACGGTTGTGATTAGAAATGTGGGCACAAGGTGCCATGAGCATATGATTGTGGATTGAGACTCGTATCTTGTGATTATGAGATGAGGCATCTCGGAGTAATTTCGTTTCGAAACTTGAGTTAGAACGACTTGCCTAATTGGTTGTTATTTATTTTCCTTGTTTGGTTTCAATGGTACTTTCACGGTGTTCGTATTACTTTACTGTTTATATCATATGTCGATTCTTGTTGCCATTATTGATTCATGCTTTCATTATTAGCTTTATACTTCTATATTGTACAGGTTATTTTGACTAATAGGTGTCTTGACTTGTACCTCGTCACTACTCCACCGAGGTTAGTTTTGATACTTACTGGGTACCGACCGTGGTGTACTCATACTATACTTCTGTACATTTTTGTGCAGATTCAGGTATTGGAGATATCAGACTCAGGCAGAGTTAGCTTATTGATCGCGAGGATTCAAGGTAGAGCTGCTTGGTTGTCGCAATCCCTTGGAGTCCTTTCCTTCTTTTGTGTCAGCTTGTTTTTTGAACATTATTGTATTTCGATCTTTGAGATATTTTCATGTATTCAGCTAGAGTTCGTGACTCTATATTACCTAGTCTTGGGAGGTTTTAGTAATTATTGCCGCATAGGCCTATTTCACATTTATTTCGGTATTTTATATAATTCTCTAAATATCATTATTAAATTGGCTTAATTATGGTAAGTAATTGGCTTACTTAGTCTTAGAGACTAGGTGTCATCACGACGCTTGAGGCGGGATTTTGGGTCATGACAACGATCAACTTCAGACTTATCGGCTTTGAAGTTAAAAAAATAGTCCGAAGTGCAATGCAATTAAGGCCAATTAAGTCTAAAGTGCAAAAATTACTCTTAAAATGCACTAAGGCCAAATAGGTCTGAAGTGCAATAAATATTTTCATGCACTTAAGGTCAGAGAGGTCTGAAGTAAAAACAATTACACTTCAGATGCACTTAAGGTCAGAGAGGTCTGAAGTAAAAACAATTACACTTCAGATGCACTTAAGGCCAAATAGGTTTGAAGTGCAACCAATGGTTTTATGCACTTAAGGCCAAAAAGTCTGAAGTAAAAAAATTACACTTCAGATGCACTTAAGGTCAAATAGGTTTGAATTGCAACCAATAGTTTCATGCACTTAAGATAAAAAAAGTTTGAAGTGAAAAAATGCACTTTAGATGCACTTAAGGCCAAATAGGTTTGAAGGGCAACCAATGGTTTCATGCACTTAAGGCCAAAAGGTCTGGAGTGAAAAAATTGCACTTCAGATGCACTTAAGGCCAAATATGTCTGAAGTGTAATAAACGTTTCATGCACTTAAAGGCCAAATAGGCCTGAAGTGCAAATTACCCAGAAACAAAAATTTGTTCTTCGAATTTTAACAACCCAATATAGGACTCAACACCTAAATCTACTCCAAATGAGTTCAAATTTGAAACATAACCTCCAAATATCATCAAGAACAAACTCCAATCATCAATTTGTCAAAACAACAATAAATCTAATGAACCTATTTTGTAATTAAGAAAAAGAAGAAGAAGAAACCTTAAGCAATAATAAAAAATAAAGCGCCACCGCAGCTCATCACTATAAAATATCATAAACTACCTTAAAGTATATTCACAAACACCATATAAAATTGTCATCACTCGAAGAAGAAGAAGAAGAAGAAGAAGAAGAAGAAGAAAGAGGAAAACAAATGCCTGAAATTGTTTAAAATTTGGGCACTAGTTAAAAAAAATTTAAAAAGTGGGCACAGGTTAAATGTGGCGACCAAATAAGGCGCCAAATTTTTTTACCTTTTTACTTGTAAAGAGAAAGAAAAAAGGCCAAATATATAGACGGTCCCTTAAAGTTGTCACCAAATTTCATTTAGACACTTTAATTGAGTCTATTACCTATCAAACACCTCAACTTTATCCAAAATGTATCTGTTAAGAATCTTGAGCAGACGTGGCACAAGCAGTGGTACTCACTTTGAGTTGAGCGCGTGGCACAAAGAGTTTTCTATTTTTCTTTGTTTTCTTCTTTCAGCTTGGTTGCCGACGACCTCTTTCTTATTTTACTCCGGTCATCTCCCTTTACATATTCTTGCGAAAATTCCAGTATTAAAATTTTCTGGATTCCTTTCAATTATCAGTTATCTCCTTGGGGGTGGTTTTTTCCATCATGTAACTAGTCCAAGACATGATTCAAAGTTGTGGTACCAAGTCATGATTCAAAGTTGTGGTACCAAGTCATGAAAGTTGACCAATTCTTCTGCCTCGCCTTTCCTCTTTTTCTTTACTCGCTTAGATCCCCATCTTTTGGTTATCCCGTCGGGATAGAATAAAGCTTATAGTTTTTTAGTTAGTTTTTTGAGAAAACCTATAAGTAATGCTCTGTTTCACCCCCTCTTCAAAATTCAAGCCCACGATAATTTTCCTATCCTTTGAGGCAGATGTGTTCCGTTTCTTATTAATAATCATTCCATTAACTAATGTTTTCCTTGTAAATTAAATCTTTAATAAAACCATTATTTTTAATAGGTAATATTTGATACTCTGAAGTCTACAACAAACAAGTGGAAGAGGCAGGATTCGAACCTACGTAGAAAAATTTTAACAGATTTACAGTCTGCCGCTTTTGACCACTCGGCCACTCTCCCCTTCCCGGGCCGAGGGCCCCCTCAATGGGTTCTAATCTAAGAAGGGAGGCGGCGCCCTGAATCAATCAAAAATCTTATTGATTTAATTGAAGGGAACTAAGACGATTAGCTTAGCTAGCGTTCCGGGAGAATCTAGTCATTTAGTCAGTTCATAACTATCTCTATAAAGCAAAGGGTAAAGCTTCTATGAAAGCTTTTCTTTGCTGTCCGGGAATTTCAGATTGTAGCCCAAGGTCTTGAAATTACAATGCTTGAAAGAGTCAGATAAATTTTATTGCTTTTATTTCTGAACTGGATTATGTTACATTGGCACCGATCAATTGCTTTTTTATCTCATGATTTTGAAGATGGGGAAATACTCGCCATTTGTGGCTGGGTAGTTAACCCAAGTTCCGACCAGAAGCGAATTCAAGATTTGAACTTTATGGGTTCCCATACTTTCAGCAAGTAAGAATTTTTTTTAATGTTGGCAGGTCTGTTTTTTAAAAGAAAAAAAGAAAAAAAAAAGTCCATACGGGTGTTGTTTTGTCAAAAAAATAAAAGTGAAGCTAAAAAGTAAATGACGGGATTCGAACCCTCGCCACATATTCAAGAATTCAAGAATACAACTTTATTTTGGTTCCTCCATTTGCCACAAGACCAGAAGCTCATTTTACTTATGGGTTCCAAGCTAAAAATAGTTATACATTTAATAAATTTCTCGATACAAATACAAGGCTCAGGTAAAATTTACTGGGTTCCCGAGGGTACTGATATTGTTGATCCACCCCTGATTCTGACCTTTCGTCTAGTTAATTTGATCATTTCACGTTTCCTGCGACTTTTGCCGGTTTGGAGCGGTAGTAATTTGGAAGTATCTTGATCCTTTCTTTCTATTTTATTTATATTTTTGCTGATTTGTAATTTTCTAATTGGTTCAATTTGCCAAGTCAGAGAGTGATACGAGAGTGAGATAAATTTGTGTTCACTAGGCACATTTTGAATACGGAAAAGGGTCATATTTGCTCCCGTACTCTTTAAAAAGGGTCATATTTGTCCTTCATTATACTTTTTTGATATATTATCCTTATCGTTATACTTTAGGATCATATTTAGCCTGTACTATTCAAAAAAGGGTTACATTTGTCCTTCATTATACTTTTTTGACATATTTATCCTTACAATTATACTTTAGGATCATATTTGTCCCTCATCCGTTAGATCGCCATGTCCCACCTTTGTTTTCCTACATGGCGCCTATGTGGATTTCTTTTTCTTTCAATTTAAATAGGGTCACCTATTTAAGATAATTTAACCCCGCCCACCCAATTTAAATAAGACACACTAACTAAAATAAATAAAAATCCTAATTCCCATCCCCCCACTCGTCCATCTCTCTTTTCCGGGTCAGCTCCATATTTTCCGGAGAGTGAGAAAATTTTGGACAGTGAGTGAATGAAACTATAGTGTTATCTCTAATTGATTTATTTAATTATTTTACCTTTGTCTATGTTAATTTGTTTCCCTTTAATACTTAGGAGTTAGGAGACATGAATCACTCAATGATGTGTTGAAGTGTTTGTAGAGATACAACTCTGTAAAGTATAAACTGGGTCAATTGACCATGATTGGTCTACGAAAAGCAATTTCCTGATATGGCATTTACGAAGATTGTGCGAAATACAATAGCGATATAGCAACGACAACATATTGGCAAACAATAACTTTGAACTCAAAATCACTAATCTAATACATCTCACAATTATTGCAGTAACCAAAGTAAATTACGAGAAGTTGCACAACAATGGGTTAATGAAGTCTTATTTAAGTTGGGTGGACGGGTTAAATTATCTTAAATGGGTGACCATGTTTAAATTGGAAGAAAAAAAAATTCACATAGGCACCATGTAGGAAAACAAAGGTGGGACATGATGATCTAACGGATGAGGGGCAAATATGATCCTAAAGTATAATTGTAAGGATAAATATGTTAAAAAAGTATAACGAAGTGCAAATATAACCCTTTTTGAAGAGTACATGAGGAAGTATGATCGATAAGGATAAATATATAAAAAAAAAAGTATAACGAAGTACAAATAAAACCATTTTAAAGAGTAGATGGGTAAATATCACCCTTAACCGTTTTGAATACACTTGAGGTATTTTGATAGGTAATAGTCTCGGTTAAAGTGTCTAAAATTTGGCCAAAGAAAAAAAGAAAAGAAGAAGACGTAATACATAAATGAATCTGAGCCGTTGAAGAGGGTCCACGACACGGTCAGCGCACCAGGTCACCAACCAATCAACGATCGATCGAAACTAACACTCCTCTCTCTCTCTCTCCTCTCTCTCTCTCTCCCCGCAAATCACCGGGACAGGGGACGCACTGTGTCGCCGATTTCCCCCCAAAGCAAAGCCCTAACTTTCTCTCTCTAAAATTCTCCCCCCTTTCTCTTTCTTAATCTTCCCAATCGCTATTCCCTCAATTTTATGCTTCAATTTCACTCTCTGATTGTTTTGTTGCCACCTTTTAAGCAGCACCTCTAAGCCCCATATTCATACACACACACACAGAGACACATAAACGCACACTTTAACAGTCTATTTCAGGCTAAAAAACCAATTTTACTCAGGGACTTATACTATAGCTGAAGCTGACCCCAATTCTTCAGATTCAGTGGTGTATGTGTTTATCTTCGCGGAAAAGTTTGGAGATTATAGCAAGGTAATTGCAAATCTTAATGAATGGGCACTTGGGATGAGCGAGTAATGTTGATTTAGCTTGATTATTTGGTATAGTTTTGCAAATTTGATAAAATTTGTCCGTATTTGCATGTGTTAGTTTGTGGTAATTTTTGTATATTCGGTGTTGCACTTCAACTATTTTACCCGGTACCTGCTATCTCACACCAGCACAGTTACCAAGTAACTCTGACCTCCAAGGCCCAGGCAGATGAGAAGAAATCACCTAGTGTTTATTGCCCCCACTGGGGATTTGAACCGAGACCTCATGGTTCTCCTTCCACTTCATTGGTCTATTTCATGTTTTACTTTCGACATATGTAAACTCATGCTTTGAATTTGTGTGTGTTGAAAAAAGACAACTTCAGCTGACTCTCATGAAGAACTTCATGTATGCGTGTTTAATTTGCATGACAGGATGGTTTGAGCAGTTATTGAGGTAGTGGCCATGGGGAGCAGTGATATTGACAAATCCTCGAAGGAGGCAAAGGAGTCAAAGGAGGCGGTAACTGTTTTTTTCCTTTTAATTTAATCACCTGAATTGTTAGATATCATGTCAGCTTGCCTAAATCCCAAGCATCATTTTTTGTGTTATTTAGGAGCAGGCTTCATCAACTGCCACTGGTACAGTAAATCCGGAATGGTCCGGCTTTCAGGTTGAGTTTCTCTGTAGCATTGTTACTTAGCCTTTTACTTCATTTGTTGCCATTTCATTTGTTGGTAGTCAATGGACATGGATTATCCGCGTGCAGGGATATTCTCCAATGCCTCCACATGGATTCTTGGCGTCAGGTTCTCAAGCACACCCTTACATGTGGGGAGTTCAGGTATGGAGGAATTATGATTCATGTCCTGTTATGTGTTCCTTCAAAATTAGATCTGCTGGCTTTGCATTGCATCATTGTGGGCAAGCATGTTTGTGGATAATTTTTTATGTTTCAATAATGACGGATATACACGGTATTAGTCTGATAATCATTGAACAGGTGCTTGCTGTGACCAATTCTGGATTTGAAATGGGAGAGAGTTGAGCTTGTACTTTAGAGAGTTTCAGGAAGCTTATTTTGTCATTGATGAGCTTTGCTCTTAAGCATCCTCATTTGTGAGCATTAGTAATTATTTACTGGTTACACCTGCTTTCCTGCTAGCGAAATTCATGTCATGCATTGAAATCTCATTATTCTATTGTTAATTTCTTTTATAACATGTTTGGATTCAGTAATGTCCTTATCCTCTGGGGGCAAATTCTTTTTTGTTTTTCAAAAAAGAATACTCTATTGAAAAAAATGAAAATATCACTAGTTAATTTCAGTATATTTCACACTTTGAATGATTGATTTGGCTCTGTGATGATAGTTTCTTGAATAATCTTGTCTCTTAGGAATGCTAAAAGTCAGTCATTTTATTTTCAGCGTCCTCCTTAATTATGGACGTAGATACCATGTTTTTGAAACATCTTTTTGTGTCAGAATATTACTGCTATATTTTTATTATTAGCTGTATTGTTTTGAGGAAGGCATCTATAATTGGCATTATAAACCCCTTTTTCATTGTTACAATTCGAGGGCATCCTTAATCAGTAATAAAAACCGTCTTAACTAGAACTATATTTATAAATATAGAGAGCTCAAGTTTGGTAGTTTGAAGATTAAAATTAATGTAATGATTAAGCATGTCGTAGCCTAAATTTGTGCAGTTGTCTTAGTCTCCTTTCTTTCGAATACTCAAAATGCTCTCATTTAAATCTTTGAGATGTATAAGATAGCTTTACATTGGAAAGGAGAGCCTTTTCTGACTTGTGATGCTTTTAATGGTGAAAACCCTGGTTTCTGTATATTTTATGGTGCTCTCACTTTTTATACATACATATACATGGACAAGTTCAGTGAAAAGGATAGAATAATTGAAATACTCCGCGACCGTTCTCGTCATGATTCAGTATTCAGTTTTTCTATCACGAAAATTATGTAAGTAAACATTTTGTGGCTCATGAATTTCCACATTACAGTCAATGCATGTCTAGTTTAAGCTCTCAAGCAGCTATGTTGCTGGTTAAAGCTCTTTTTTAAGAATAAACTGGGGAAATTTGGTACCACTTTGTGTTGATGCGGCCTCTTGAACACCTTTAGATATGGAGTTTAAGTTGCTTGCTATACATAATCTTTTGGTAGGTCAAACCTATTCTTGACCATCTTCATCTTCTTAGTTCAAGTGTTAAATGACTTTTAGTGATCGTAAATTATCAAGAAAATAATTGTGTTTTTGTTAATCCAATTGTCTAACTCATGTGGTTCTGTTGACGTCTTCATTGATTCTCAAGTGCTAATAAAGGTGACAAACACGAGACTGCAAAATTAACTGCTTGAATAAAAGCAACAATTGTTATGCAAGAGGCTGCTTGTTAAAGTCAAAGGTTCTCAAATTTTCTTCAAATTTACATGGATGTATATGATAGTGGCGCCTCAATCCCAAACTAGTCATATGAATCCTCTAAATCCATTATGTTTAAGGACCAGCCATATTATGGCTATATTTATGCTGCTGTCAACCTACTGCAACTCTCCTCCTTTAATTGGGTTTAGACCTGCTGTGCGAAGCTCACAAAGATATTTTCAAAGATGTAGAAACAACAACAAAGACAACACTCCATGTCACCCCATTTTAAGTTCATCTCAAACCAATATAATACAAAATAAACTAAAAATCAAAAACACTAGGAGTTCTCTATGTTTTCTACTGGAATATAAATCTCCATCAAGGTTAAGAGACCCGTTGAAAGCGAAGACTTTAAGTAAGCGTGCTAATATGACTAAAAAATATTTCTAGCTAGTTGGTATCATCTATGTAGATCTTTTTCTTGATTCATGCTATCTTTTGCCAAGTCCGTATGGATTCCAAGAGATTGTAGGGCTTTCTAGACAATTTTATCCATGTGATTTTAAGTTTACCTTGTTCCTTTTAACATCTTTACCCATCATGGTTTCACACCTGCAAATCGTTGCATTGGGAGGTCGACGCACGACATGGACAAACCATCTCAATCGACCTTCTCTCATTTTATCCTTGATGTGTGCTACTTGCATCTTTTGCCGAATATTATCATTTTGAATCTTGTCTAATCTTATATGACTGCACATCCATTTTAGCCTCCGTATCTCTGCGACACTCATCTTGTTGATATGTTGGATTTTAATGGTCCAGCGTTCACTCTCATATAACATTTGCCGGTCTTATCACTGTTTCATTGAAGTTACCTTTTACTTAAGTAGGTATCGTCCTATCATATAACACCCCAATAGCACTTCTCCATTTGAATCCTCCTATTTTGATTTTGTGAGTAACATCTTCATATGTCGTACCATTCTTCTGGAACGTCCATCCAAGATATCTTAATTGTTTGCATTTACGCACAGCAAACCCATCCAATCTCATGTCAACTTCACTCTTCTTATGCTGACTAAATTTACATTGAATATATTCCATTTTACTTCTTCTCATCCTAAAAACCGCTGTTTTCTAGAGTGCTTCTCCACAGTTCGACCTTTTGGTTGACACTCTCACTGGTTTTGTCAATTAGCTAATTATAAAGGATGTATGAGTTAAATTATCTTTCTGCTCAATTATTGTGCTGGTTTTTAGTTTCCTGCTTCTCCATGGTTCTAAAAGTAGAGACTTCTGGTGAATTCTCCCGGATTCAAGCATCTGGAGTCATATGCCAAAATTTACAATATCTGTTTCTTATTTGAATTTATTTCGAAAGGGATGTACTATTATTTTGAGGCTCCAACTCATACTAGTTACTATTGTCTTTCTTAACCAAAATGTTTTCCCGTTTTCAGCATCTTATGCCACCCTATGGTACTCCACCGCATCCTTATGTTGCAATGTATCCCCATGGTGGAATATATGCTCATCCATCTATTCCTCCGGTATCTTCTTGTTCCGTGATATTTCTCAGCTTGCTACCAGTAGCTCGTGTTTTAGTGCTAACAGACATTTTTTTTTCATATTGATCAGGGATCTTACCCCTTCAGCCCCTTTGCGATGCCTTCTCCAAACGGCGTTGCTGAAGCTGCAGTAAGTACCAAAGCTAGATATGTTTAGTGATTCTGTTCGATGATACTAATGGTTCAAATTTCCGATTTCTGTGGTGCTTCTGATATTTGAACTTTTGTAGGTTAACACCTCTGGCAATGCTGAAGTAGATGGTAAATCATCTGAGGGAAAGGAGAAACTGCCTATTAAAAGATCTAAGGGAAGCTTGGGTAGTTTGAATATGATTACAGGAAAGAATAATCAACCTGGTAAAACGTCTGGAGCATCTGCAAACGGAGCCTATTCTAAAAGGTACGCGATATCTCAACTGAATAAATTGTTTGAAAGGAGGAAGTCGTGGAAAATGAAGACAGACAGAATGATGTTACCACTTGGAGATGGGTATTAACACTAGTCTCCTAATCCTTTAGCTTTTCTGTCCTCTTCATTGCCCTCGAACTTTGCTGATATGTGACAGTAGACACTTAAGCTGAAATTATATATAAAGGCAGATGATCGTTTGCTATTTCAATTGGTCTAGATTGCTTCAAATTGCCTTGATTATTTCTTTCTGCTAAACACAAGCAGCTTGATTGAGATGGTTAGTATATGAATAATGTAATCAGCTTAATCAGTAGTTGGTCTTGTGGGTTTTGTCAAGTATGCATTCTCTATTGAAGTGGTTTGAGGTTATCTCATGACTGTAGTTTGTGCTCCATTTATTTATTTGCTTTAGCTGCTTGTATATAATGATAGCCGATATGCCTTAGATCAATTGGGATAAGTTGCTGTCAGAAATCACCAGTTGAGACTTGAGAGTATGGTTTCTTACTGGGTCTGCATTCAGAGTGCATTCTCTTTTCCTTTTTCTTCAATCAAGTTTTTCTTGGTTAAATATTGTCCTGTCGTATCCTTAGCTTGGCTGGGAACTTGCTGTCCAAAAAATGTATAATGCTATATACTCTTTTTAGGTTTCTATGTGGTCTGCATAGATTTCTTTTGGAGATTCTGGTTCAATTGGATCTGTTTGTTGCCCATGAACATATTTGCTATCATTTGCTTAATCTGCATGTTTGTTTTGGTTGTTAAACTTAAAAGGGCATCCTGTCAGTTATTAAGAAGTTTGACCTTTGCCAATTTGGGCTTGCAGTGCCGAGAGTGGAAGTGAAGGCTCAAGCGAAGGGAGTGATGCAAATTCTCAAAATGTGGGTATTATGTGGTGGATATTTGATTTGTTCATATCTAGTCCTTGGCAGTTTTTATGGTGGATTATGTTTACACAAACTATTAAATAAGCTTTCCATCTTAACGCATTAGGATTTCACATATAGGTTTTTGGTCATCCATTACCCTTGCAGTCAGTATACATGGGAACAGTGTAGTCGTATTTAGTAGTTGGTGCCTTCTTTGAGTATTTTTCTTCTTGATTGTGTACAGGAGTCACCAATGAAGTCAGCAGGCAGGCAAGATTCAGGTTCTGGTGGTATGAATTTGCTTTAAACATTTTGTCATGAGTTTTGCCAATGCATTTATTTGATGGAAAAGTATGGCGTTTCTGTTATAGCTGAAGCATCTCGAAATGGCAATTCTGCTCATAGTTCTCAAAATGGAGGAACTAGTGCTTCCCATTCATTGATCAACCAAACTATGCCAATCATGCCAATGTCAGCTGCTGGAGGTATTCCTGGTCCCACAACCAACTTGAATATTGGTATGGACTACTGGAGTGCTGCCGCTTCACCGAGTATACCTGCAATTCATGGAAAGTTACCGTCTGCTTCAGTTGCTGGAGGAATGGTTACTGCTGGATCAAGGGATATTGTCCAATCACAAATGTGGATTCAGGTAGTTTCATCTGTCTTATTAACTTTTTACCTACCCTTTTGCTAGCTTTTTCATTATGCTGGTTCAACTACTGCTTGTGCTTGAAATATCTAAACACCTGAAATCCACTCTCTTCTTTTCCAGCTTTAACTTAGCATGTGGCAGAACAATTCTGTATGTTCCATTATAAAAACAAGGCTGTGGTGATAGATATAAATATGCAGATAGCATACTTTTGTATATTTTAGTTACATGGGAGCAGTATGAATTAGTGTTCAATATAGTCGTTATAGGATTACTGGTAGAGCTCATTTAATTTGTTCTCACACATAATCTTTGCCTGGGTATCGTAGCCTTGCTGAGTACTCAGAGTTGAACACCGTAACCTCCATGCTCTTCAGATGTCCTTTTCTTCTGTTTCTAACTGTGGACGTGTCACCCTTTATTTTCCTTTGCCTTATTTGTAACTTAGTCCATAGTAACCTAGAACATGTATTTTCCTTGAATAGGATGAAAGGGAGCTTAAGAGGCAGAGAAGAAAGCAGTCCAACAGGGAATCTGCGCGTAGGTCTAGGTTACGCAAGCAGGTACTGATATTTCTTTTCTTGTTTCTTTGCAAATTTGGAATGACCTCTGACTCCACTTTGCCTTTGGGAGCCAGGCAGAGTGTGATGAACTAGCACAGCGTGCTGAAGCTCTAAAGGAAGAAAATGCCTCTCTTAGAGCAGAACTGAATCGTCTGAGGAGTGAGCATGACCAACTTGCTGCTCAGAATGCTTCTCTTAAGGTATTGTCTCTTTTCCCTTCTTCAGTTATAACTTTTATCAGAAGAAGAGAAAAAGAAGGATTCAATAGTTGCCAACAAATAACTCATTGCAAAATGAAGAAACTTGAGGGTGGAAGGTCAAAGCATTAATGTTCTTAGCTGCAGAAACAACCAACCTAAAATTTACCTGATGTGGACTGTGACATGGTTTAAAGTGCTTATGTAAATACTCGCCATACTTTATTTGTCACCTTCTAACTGCAGAAGGGAATTGAAATTGTTAATTCTCTTTTTCCTGTCTTCGCTTTTAGAAAATTCATGAGTCACTGGATTTGACTTTGCAGGAGAGACTTGGTGAAGTTCCAGGGCGAGAAGATCCGAGACCTAGTAGAAATGACGTACATCTAGGCAAAGATACCCAGCATTCATCACAAACAGAGCCCACACAGGGTGGTCAATGAAGTTCTCGCTACATTATTGTGGATTGGATATTAGGGCTTAACCTAACAAATAGTAGCTGAAGTCTATAATTTGCATATCATGTAGTTTAAAATCTGTGAAATCTGAGCTTGTTAGTGTCAGGATTTGTTGTCCAATATTGTCCATTGTTTCTCAGTTGGACCAATCTTTTATGGTCGAGGAACTGGATAACATGTAGATTATGTGATCATTGGTGCAGGTTAGTTCTGTGCCAAATAGGTGGTGTTTCTATTTGCTCAAATTTTTATGTACTGAAGTGGTTGAATGAATTTGCTCGTCTTAGAAGAAATGCTCTAAGCACAAATAAATATGCAATGTGACTGTATTATACACCGTTTGTTATCTTTTTCCTTTGCCCTTCCCTCGGAGGACCGCTATTGGTTAGCATTTCTTAGTTTCTACCGCGAGGATATTTTGTTTTTAAAAACGTCAACACTACTTTTGCGGGGGGAAACTTGAACCTACTGATTAATCTAGACTTACAGGAGCACTCTTTGCATGGAAATGGTATCTTGTTGAAGATACAAGCTGAAGGTTCCTTGTAGACCGACGCAAGTTTTTAACCAAATACGTCCGGATCTGTTTATGTTCAAATTACTGTTAACGCAACATCCCTAAATTCTTAAAAGCCATTTTTGGTCCAAAACTAACCTCCGTATCCATATAGAGATCTTTCAATCAGTAAGTATATCTATTAAAAATGAATATTAATCTAATTTCAATATCTGAACAAAGAGTGAACAAGAGAACTCGGCAAAGCCAGCAGAAGGAAAGTCATTTGGTCGAAGTTCCTTGGTCTGCACAGCTGTGATTGCAAAACCCTCACATCAGACTTCAATTGCAAAGGGCAACGAATGCAATTGAAGTCCCCAAAGTGCAATTTAAGATCTAATAGGCCGTTATGGAGCAAACATGGAAATATTTAAAACAACAGTGTGGTAACGTGTTAATTAAGGATACCATGAAGTTAGTAGAAGGCAGAGGCTTCTTTACTAATCACTGCTGTAGAGAGGCCAATCAAGAAGCAGATAAAACGGCTTCTTCAAGTCATCAGCAAGAAGCAATGCATATATATACATGTTTTGAGACAATGCCAAGACAAATTAAAGGTTTACTAACAGCTTGTTTGAATGGTTGCAGAGGCGCAGCTAGGATTTCAAGCTTATGAGTTTGGGATTCTAATCATTAAAAGTTACTGAGTTCTTAATTAATCATTTATATATATTCAATGGATTTCGTAAGACAAACACAAGGTTCGAATCAAAGTTATTGGGTTCGGCCGAACCCGGTCCCGACACTCTACCTCCGCCACTGAATAGTTGTTATGTATTGTTTCATAATGTATCGTATAATATTGTATTGTATTTTATTGTACTGTATTGTTTTACTATATACAATCTTTGGATATGTTATATTATTTTCAGTCATTTCATGATGTCATGCACCAACAATATAAAGAATAAATTTATAATATTATAAAGAAAAAGTAAGATACGAGGTAGAATTATTAGATAAAAAAATAGGGTAAAGAATAAAATAAGATTTTTAATAATATGGAAGAGACATATGTGAGAAAAGAATAAGGTAACGACGCGACCACATTAAATCGGCCGTTCCATAAAGTGATAATTTTTGTCGTAAGGTATATTTAAAGTACCAATACGCTACAATACAATATATAACAACTATCCAAACAAACTGTAAAGGTAGATAGGTGGCAATTGCCATCTTTCCGAGTCAAGAGGAGAAGGTCAAGGGTCCTTGTATATGAGCAACCATGACACCAGCTTTATTACCACTGGATAAGAGTATTCCTTTTTTGTTTCCAACAAACAGTTTTATGTTCAATATATGAGATGGCTTTGCCATTCTCTCAAAGTGTAATAGAAGGCCATGCTATCCCCTCCTTCAAAGTGTATATTCTGTTTAAAGTGGTAATAAAATCATGATTTTGGATTTTATTTTTTTTGAAGAAGTAAAAAGTAAACCCCAATAAACGGGGTTGTTCTTAGTCAAAGGCCAGTCCATGATTTCTCCTCCTGATCGTGAATCAACTATCAAAACATCAGTTGGGTTGTTACATATATTTTCAAAAGGTCAGAAGTCACTCCTCAATAATGTGAATTATAATAAACTATTATTTTAATAATTAAAATTGGGAGAAGGTTTAAAATACCTAGTATAATAAAAAATATTTCTTAATTTACTCCGTTATACTTTAAGATAATATATACTACTGAATATATATATATATATATATATATATATATATATNAGACAATATTTATTATTTATATCTATATCTATATCTGTATATACATCTATATCTATATCTACATTATAATAAATTATCGCTAGGTTTTATTGCAAAATAATAAAAGAGCTTCTCCGTTTATACTTTGGAATTTAGATTTAGAATACGATGTGACATAATTTGGATTTTAAATAGTCCAAAGTTTACATCCTTTTTTTAAAAAAATGTTTTTCTATGTCAATGAATATGTGATAAATATATTGGCTATAAAGAGACTAATAAATAATAGAATAAAAACATTAAAAATTAAATTTCAATAATAAAATAACTATATCTATCTATCTATCTATCTATCTATCTATCTATCTATCTATCTATCTATCTATCTATCTATATTACAATAATATAGAAATAATAACAACATAAATTAAGTCAAGTGATAAGTTAATAAAATGTCACATGCCAATATAAAGTTACTAAGTATAGGATAATACGACTATGATAAATAATGAATAAAAAGAGAAAAAAAAATTAAATCAAAAGCTTTAGCATAAAAATATAAAAGAATATGGCCTATTTAGAATTGAAAAAATGATAAGGTTTGTAAAATTATGATGAGAAAAATGAAATTATATGTATAAGATAACGTAATTAAAACTTTAATAAATAAAACTAAAAGGATGTTGAACATTTGAACAATGAAAGAACTCCAACCAAAAAAAAAAAAAAAAAAAATGGGAGAGAGAGAAAAAAGAAGGAAAATTCAACCCACAGATTAAAAATAAAATTTAAATTCTCATATAGGTGATTTTAATAATTAAAACTGAAACTCAAAATTTATATTGAAAATAAAAGAGAAGGAAATATTGGTTATTGCACATAATAGTATAATGAAATTATTAAATTTATCGATAGATTTTATGACAAAATAATAAAAGAATTTATCTATTAATACTTTCGAGTTTGAGAGAATTCAAATAATTATAATTTTGTAACGACCCGACCGGTTGTTTTAAGCCTTAGCGCGTCATTCAGCGGTTTGAGGCCTTGAGAAACTTCACTTCAAGTATTGTGACTTGCACGTGTGGTCGGAATTTAAGTTCGAAAAGTTCGGAGTTGATTTGGAAAGAAAATTCTCATTTCGGATAAGTTGGAAGAATTGACTAAGGTTGGACTTTTGAGTAAACGACCTCGGAATCGGGATTTGAAGGCTCCAATAGGTTCGTATGATAATTGTGGACTTGGGCGTATATCCAGATCGGGTTTTGGATGATCCGGGAGCGTTACAGCTATGGAAAGTTGGCATTTTGGAAGAATTTTTATAAATTTGGGTTGAAGTGTATTTTAATATTATCAATGTCCGTTTGGGATTCTGAACCTAGGAATAGCTATGTATGGTAATTTCTGGTCTTAGGATCGCGTCCGAATGTGGATTTGGAGGTCCGTAGATTATGTCGGGGTGGAAATTTAAAGGTTTTTGGAAAGTTTGACCGGGAGTGGACTTTTTGATATCGGGGTCGGATATCGATTCCAGAAGTTGGAATAGGCCCGTGATGTCATTTGGGACTTGTGTGCAAAATTTGAAGTTGTTCCGGATTGATTTGATATGTTTCGGCACAAATTATAGAAGTTAAAAGTATATAAGTTCATTAAGTTCGATTTGATGTGCGATTCATAGTTTTGATATTGTTTGATGTTATTTGAGGCCTCGAGTAGGTCCGCGTTATATTTTGGGACTTATTGGTATGTTCGAACGTGGTCCCGAGGGGCTCGAGCGAGTTTCGAATAGGTTTGGGTTGTGTTGCGCTCATTTTTTATGTTTCGACTTCATTTCTTCAAGCATAAATGGTACCACATTAAGCAAATGAGCTCTAATTTCTGTTTTGATTAAAGCATTAGATCCGTATCGTAATTACGGAGACAAAACAAAAAGAATCATCAAATTTGGACATCGTATGAAGAAGTTATGCTCATTTTAGTGTCAGAGAAGAGAGCTGATGTTGTTGCTTCGCAGATGCGAGGTTGGGTCCGTGTATCTGCGATCCCGCAGATGCAAAAATTGGTCCGCAAAAGTAGAAATTACAGCTGAAAATGCGCAGGTGCATATTTTTTGTCGCAAAAGCAAAAATCTCTGAGTATATAAAAATCAGACCGCGTTATTTTGGTATTTTGGGCATATCTTGAGTTCTAGAGCTCTGTTTGAGATAATTTTTACGGAGTTGTTCTCGTCTCAACAAGGGTGTAAATATCTGACCTTTATTTTGATGTTTCTCCATGATTATTTTCGTTGGTTATTATTTTTATCCGTATTTGAATTGTAGAAATTGGGATTTTGAGCCCCAAAGTTGAAAAATGATAAATTCTTGATTTGAGGATCGATTCATGGATGAAATTGAATAATTTTATGGATATAGACCATATGAGTTATGGGTAATATTTATTTTCAAAAATTTTCGGAATCCGTGCACGTGAGTCCAAGGATCGACTTTATTGACTTTTCGAACGGAGTTGGGATTGTTATAAATTGATTTATTATGAGTATTAGAGTATATTTTTATTGGTTTGCACATTGTTTAACTAGTTTTGGAGCGACGTGCATCGATTTGAGGTGTTAGAGTGGCGTTGGAGCCGATTATGGAACTTCAGAGCGAGGTAAGTCTCCTGTCTAACCCTTTGAGGGGGAAACCACCCCTAGGTGATGTAATTGTTATATGCTACTAGTTGTGAGTGCTACGTACGCACGAGATGACGAGAGTCCGTACGTAGCTAGATTCATGTTATTGTTCGGGTAGACTTAGGCTCACACCATGCTATAGCTGTACTATTTAAACAGTCTCTTGCCTATTAAATTCCTTTATTTTTTTGTTACAACTTGAGACTAGACTTGTGTAGATTGGTAGACTCGTTATTGTAGAGATCACACGAACTTTATGAATTGCCACAGAATAATTATACTCCTCCTACGAATTTCCCCCGCGTTATGCGTTCTCATCGAAGGGCTTTCCCCAAAGCTTTCCTAAAACTCACCTGTCCCTTCGTGAGTAGGGTCAAGGACCCATCAAAACTTTCTTATT